ACAATAATTTGACAGTTTAATTGCATATGACAGTTAGGCATAATACTTATTATTCAATTTAGGCATAAACATACATTTATGTAAAATTCAACAGAGGATTCAAAATACCTAATTTAAAACATTAAGGTTAAGTGATTTATAAAATTTTTTATAAATACCTATATACATACATACATATATAAATGACACATAAATTTGAAATAATTAAAGGATCTTAGGAATAATTTTTTAAACTTAAAGATTCTTAAATAAAACTACAATTTTGAAAGCAATTTTTAAGTGTAATTATGATGACTTTTATATAAAATATTTTTAAAGGATTTAAAAATCATTCAAAAGCTTCACATAAGCTCTTTATTGTTTTCCTTTGAAACAATGCCAAATGTTAAGTTGTTTAAACAACTTAAATCTGTCTCAGTCCGCTCTAGACGTGTATTTCATTCCTATATATTTTTATTTAATAAGTTCTTTAGCAAATTATTATTTCATTCCTTTGGAATTTTTTTTATTTAGAGGCGATTAAAGTTCTCTTACTCAACTGTTTTTTTTTTATCTAACTGCCATAACCCATCGACATTCATTCCATTTGCCTAACGTTACACTTCACTTAGCACACAACACAAATGAGTAATGCTCGCATTCAGTACCAACATTCATATCAGTCAAATAGTATTCCAAGTATGTTAACAAGACTTGGAAGAAAAAAAACATACAACCAACCAACCAGCCAGCCAGTCAACCAACAGTTGTTAATAAAACAAGTAAGAGTGTTATATTCGGCAGTGCCGAATCTCATATACCCACCATCAAACCGTATGCCGTAAAAGGAATGCTCCCCTATAAACATCAGGGTGATGTTTGGAATATGGCTTAAGACAATTATGGACCGAGCTCTTTTGAACTAACAAAATATTAATTTTTAAAAACCAAATATTTTATTTCAATTCTTAAACCGTGAGCGTCAATTATGAACCGATACTCATAAAATTTTGTACATAGATTTCGTTTGTATAGAACTTGCTTATGCGCCATACTCGTATTTTAAATAAGGAACACTCGTATTTTATTAACCAAAACTCTTTCCTGAAGGGAACCTTTTATAGGGGCTAGGGTCAGTTATAAATCAGTCCTCATTAAATTCGGAATGAAGAATTATGTTCCTAAGTATAAACTTTTTTATGTCGATTTTAACCGCTGTACTTGTAATTATCTGAGTTTTCTTCATCAAATTTTCTAAAGAGGATCTCATATGTGGTGTATGGTCAATTGTTGACCTATCCTCATAACTTTTTGTAGACTGATTTTGGTTCATATAAAACTTGTTTACATTGAATATCATCGCTGTTCTCGCATTTGTATGCTAGCAATTAGCGTTCATGTAATTTTAAAAAGGGGCTTATATAGGGGTTTAGGGTGAATTACCGACACATTCCGCATGAAATTCGGAGCGAATTTCATAACCGTATTTCATAAATCATATTTTTAAGCCAGTAATGATCGTTTAAGAAATTTTCTGAAGGGGACCTTGTATGGGCGGTAGGGTAAATTATGGACCGATCCTCCCTAAATTTGGTGGAGAGATTTTGGCACGCATTAAACTTATGTGCGTCAATTTTCGTCACTACATTCATATTTTTAAGCCAGTAATGAGCAGTATAGTTATTTGCAGAGGGGGACCTTATATGGGGGAAGGGTCACTTATAGGCCTATCCAAAAAAAAAAATTGTTACAGAGATTTTGGCTCGTAAGAAACTTACGTGTGTAACATTTCATCGCTTTACTCGTATTTTTAAGACAGTAATGAGCGTTAAAGCTATTTCCTGAAGTGGACCCAATAGGGGGAGAAGGGCTAATTATGGACCTATCCATAATAAAAGTTATTTAAAAGATTTTGGCTCGCGAGGAACTTAATTGTGTAAAATTTTATTGCTATATTCGTATTTTGTAGCCAGTAATGAGCGTTAAAGTCATTTTCAGAAGGGGACCTTATATGGGGGGTAGGGTCATTTATGGGCCGATCTTAAAAAAAATTCGTAGAGCGATTTCGGTTCGTAAGAAACTTACTTATACCGAATTTCATCGCTATACTCGCATTTTTGGACCAGTAATGAGCGTTAAAGCAATTTTCTAAAGGGGACCTTATATGAGGGGTAGGGTCAATTATGGACCGATCCTCAAAAAATTTAATAGAGAGATTTTGGCTCACATGAAACTTATTTATGTCGAATTTCATCGCTATACTTGCATTTTGGGTCAGTAATGAGTATTAAAGTCATTTTCAGAAGGGGACCTTATATGGAGGGTAGGGTCATTTATGGGCCGATCCTAAAAAAAACTGGTTAAAAGGTTTTGGTTCGTAAGAAACTTACTTATACTGAATTTTATCGCTATACCCTAATTTTTAGGCCAGTAATGAGTGTTAAAGTCATTTTCTGAAGGGGACCTTATGTGGGGGGTAGGGTCATTTATGGGCCGATCCTCAAAAAATTTCGTAGAAAGATTTTGGCTCATATGGAACTTATTTATGTCGAATTTCATCGATATACTTGTACTTCTAAAGCAGTTATGACCGTTGAAGCTGTTTTTTGGAGGTCCACTTGTATGGGGGCTATCCGAAAAAGTGGACCGATATTGCCCATTTTCAATACCAAACAAACCTTAACAATAGAAAATATTTATGCAAAATTTCAACTGTCTAGCTCCTCTCGTGTGGTTCCTATCGTGATTTCAACAGACAGACGGACGGACGGACGGACAGACGGACGGACAGACGGACGGACATGGCTAGATCGTCTTAGAATTTAATAAGGACCCGGAATATATATACTTTTATGGGTCTATGACCAATATTTCGATGTGTTACAAACGGAATGACAAAATCAATATACCCCCCATCTTTTTTGATGGTGGGTATAAAAACAACATTGAAACAAAACAGCCAACGCATATTTAACACACTCCCGTACAAAATGATTCATCCGCATATTGTTTAGACAGACATACTGCCAATGTACAAACGAACTAACCATTAACAGAAAACCCGAAATCAGGCTATAGACAGTTAAAGAATGGAGAGAGCTTATATTTTATGGAATCCTTTTTTGTTTGGTTAAAGCTTTTTGTGTTCGTAACTTTTTGAAAGAAATAAATGTATGAACAAGACAATAAACAAATTGGCATGAATCATACACGCATAACAAATAAGAAAATTTAAATACAATTTAAACTATGTTGGTATTAACCCTAAAACGGTTATAGGGGTTTTAAATTAATTGCATTATCTTGCCAACAAGGTTTATGACTAAATTCCGCATAATCCCTTTCCTTTTGGTCATTGACTTATCTAAGCAAGGGCATTATACTAATAACTTTCAGATACGACGCCTCAAACTCTATTCCATTCTGAAGAATAAGCTGGCGATAGCTAGCATTCTTAAGATTTTATATCTATACAGATATTTGATTTATATAATAAAATCCAGACCTTACCAATCGTCAGATGTTTCAGATTCAGCCTGTAGCAGTAAAATATCTCAATAGGTCGTTGAGTCTGGACACAGATTCTTAACGAAGTATATTTGCCCAGGAATCTATTCCTCTTAACAGCTAGGGATAGGCATTCACAGAAAACTGTTTTCTCTTTATTCCTATTTATACAAATTCGGCAAAACTCCTTGCCTGTCTGCATAGCATCCAATGTCCAGTTATTACGGAAATACCTGCGATATATCATGTCTATTTCGGGTTATAAATAGACTTGTGCATTTCCCATTGAAAGAAGGACACATTAGCCTGATCTCTCTACATATATGTCCAGATTATTCCATCTATTTTCAGTCTTTTGAAGGAAAACTTGCAGATATTGCTTTTAATAAATCCGGAATGTACTTTCGAGAGTTTTACGGCTGTAGCACTGACCTTTATCTTTAATCTAACTGAAGGTACAATTAGTTTATACGTTTCGTTCCTTGGCTAATCAGCTGTTTCGTTTTTTTAGGTTAGATATAAAGTATTTACCCAGGATTCTATTCCTCTTGATAGCTAATTCAGGGCATTCAAAGAGAAGGAGGAAGCCCGCTTCCTTTTTACCCCAATTCTTGCAACTGCGACAGAATTCGTAGAAGGGAAGCTCCAAACGTCCAATCATCCGTCGTCTACTTATTACTGCAAGCAACATCGATATATCCCATCTATTTCGCATTTCCCATCGAAAGAAGGACACTTTATTCCCTCTGAAGCACTGACTGAAGGCACATTTTTTACGTTTCGTTCCGTGACGAAACAGCTGATACTTTTTTAACTTACGATCGTTAATTTAATCGTGAACTTGACATTAAGTTTTCGTAAGTCCAAAACGAAGCAGTTGAGAATGTATATCATCAATGTTCAACTAAAGCTTGAGAGCAGATTCGTATTCAGTGCAGATCAATTCCAGAGAAAAGTTAACCTTTGTCTTTGGGTTTCGACTTCTTGACCAGTATTAACATAAACTGGTGTTGTTGACTGAATGGGAATTAAATCAAGGCCGCACTTGCTAACCACTTAAATAGCAAAGATAATAGATCAATCCAATCTAATGGTTCCCGATAAAATCCATTCGATTTAATTCATATACAACAGGCTTAATTACCGCTAGGAGGATCTTATTATTCACTAAATTTGTGTCATTTATATTAGATTCAACAATTTTGACGTGAATGGACACTTTAAATATGTTGGATCCGATTTTAGTGATCATTTCAATTTATCAAAATCTTCTTAACTCTCTAAGTTTTTAATAAAACACCATAGAACCTAACAAGATTATTTATTTAAATCGAAAAAAAAAAATACAAACACAATTTTTAAAAAGATAAACATGTTTTCCCCTGTTAATCTCTAGCCAGACAACAAAAATTTTATATTTTATATAGTAAACGATCAATCATTTAATAAAATCTACACACATAAACTGCTTGTAAAACAATTATTAATTGAATTTATTTCTTATTAATTTACAGTTTAAAATAAAATATTGTTACGGATTATTAAACACTTAAACCACCCACATCTTTGGCAAACGGAAGACTTAATTTTCAGCTAGTATAACAAATAAACATTAGACGAAAGAGAAAAGTAGTGTGTGGTGACAGCCAACAGCAGCTCGCCAGCCACAACATAAATTGCAGTCAGAAGCACCATCACCATTATTACCACCTACGCTTAAGTGATTTACTTTTCCCCTTCAGTAATTCTCGGTACATACATTTTGATAGCCCCAAAGAAACCAAATTTCATAGAAACACACAAAACAAACCCAGTTGTCGCCTTCGTTATAGTTGTAGTCTCTAATCATACCAAAGAAGATGCAGTGCGGTCTAGAACAAATGAACGATAGTGAACGTTCACCAAATCGAACAAATTTACGGGTGAATTTCAATGAGAAGGGTTCGGAAGTTAAAGAGCGTCGTGAAAAGTTCCTCACCGCTAAATATGGTTCACATCAAATGAGTTTAATACGTAAACGTTTGGCTGTCGAGATGTGGTTGTACGATGAATTGCAGAAACTCTTCGATCCGCCGGTAAGTTAAAAGTGATCTTTTATTTTATTATATTTGTATTTCATTTAGAGAGTATTTTGTATTTTTAGTCTTTGTTTATAGTTTGTAAATGATTTTGTTTTTTTGTTCATTTTATTGTTTATTGTTTAGTTTGGAAGTTAATCATCATCATTTCATTCTGCTGTGTTTATTATTATGATTTGTGTGTTTATTTTAAATTTATGGTTTATTTTTGTGTTTTTTAGAGCGAAGCCATTGATGTGGATATTGATGAAATTCTAGATATGGATACAGACGATATAAGAAGATCTCATTTAATTGTAAGTAAAAGTTTTTTTCTTCTAAATTAGGAAATTTTTGTTTACTTCATCGAAATTTAGTATATTTTACGATATTCTGTACAAGTTTAAAATGTTTGTTTATATTTTATCTTGTAATCATTTAAATCGATCTTATTTGCTCGTTACTATTAAGAGATCGTACCAACTTGAAGTTTGTTTTCATTCCAAAGCATATCGATAAATTAAACAGAGCATCGAGTATAGATGAAACTGTATGATTCACCACAAATTTATATGCTATCATTAAGCCTCCAATGAAGTTCGATCGAAGGGATACTGGTAGTAATCCTTAATAGATCGTTTGGTTATATCAAATCATTTACAACTCCAATGGAGTAATTGTTCTTTGCGATAACTATATCGATAGAACGAGATCATTTATACTGTTCCATTACACCTAACTTCCTATGAAAAGAACATGTAGAGAAATCGATCTATCGAAGATCACTGATTTTTCCGGTTTATATTATATGTTCAATTGATTACATTTTACTAAAATATATATATATATATCGATATTCCATTGTCCTAATTGCTTGTATCCAGAGTCCAGTGAGTGGAAAATAACTTTTATTCTGAATAAAGAATTCACATACTTTCCAATCCCAACATGTGTTAACTATAAGGAATCGTGTTCAATGAATTTGATCCAAATACCTTGGGAGCGATATTTCATTCATAAAATCTCACGCTACACTAAAAGTTCTTAGGACAACATTCATACTTAGATAATTTTCCAAAGATGTACTTATACGGATTTGAAGTACCATATATCCTCACATAGACCTAACCTACTAGACTTTCCAATGAAACATTGAAAAAATGGTATTTTTCGATTTTGTCGTGACAGTTCAACTTAAACATCATTTGAAGGAAGCCAACGATTTATGGCAAGACTTCCCAATTTATCATAATCATATAGCATTACAGCTTCGTTCGCAGCCGTCCTCTTCTTCTCGTACCTCCGATGTAGTAGTTTAGCATTAACTTTTATGGTCTACTATCGTCCATGCGTGCTACATGTCCTGCCCATCATATTCGTTGCGTCTTTATACATTTTACTATGTCCTCACCGTTGCATACTCGAGCAGTTCGTCATTGCCTCTTTGGATATAGTTTCCATTACCACGTAAAGAGCCCAACATTTTCCGTAAAATTCTCCTTATTCTTAGACGCTGCTGATCGCCAGCCGTCATGGCCCATGTTTTGCATCCATATGTACCAGTTGGTCTGATTATGGTCTTGCAGATGTTCAGTTTACATGCTTTCGAAACTAATTTGGACGTAAAGATTTTCCTCTGCGCAAAATACTCTTTATTTGCCGTAGATATACGATCACTGTTCTTAAATGGTCTTCATTAGCGTGCGGTATTGCTCTCCTATCTATACTATCAAAGGCCTGCCTGAAGTCGATGATGTAACATATTCGCAAAATTTTTCACAGTTCAATTTTCGAAGGAATAGTTGTTCAACTGTTGATCTGCCTGGTCGAAATCCTCCAAGAAATTCTCCCAATATATTGGATGCAGCTTCGGTTAGTCTCTCGTAGAAAATATTGGTAAAGATCTTGCAGCAAAAGTCCAATAGTGTGATTCCTCTATAGTTCTCGCATGAACTCTTGTCGGTCTTCTTGTGGATTGGTACGATAAGACCGACAGCCCATGATTTTGGTAGCAGTTCCTGGTTTCATATATTAAGTATCAGTTTCGAGTGTGCTTCTATCGCCGTCATCACCTATTGCCTGCATGAGTTCAGTTGTAATTCTATCTTCTCCGGGTGCTTTGTTAGTCTTCATTCTCTTAAACATTCTCAAGATATCCTTCCTAACTGATAGTCGTATATCTTCTTCGTTATCATGAAGTGAGAATTTGCGTCGACAGGATCATTGTCATATAAATCGCTGAAGTGCTCTCCCCACCGTTGTAGGATATCACCATCTTATGTAAGAGTTGCGCCGTTTTTGGGTTTATAGTTGGCAATCTTGGGTTGAAAACTTTTTGCTTCCGGTTGTAGTTTCTTGTAGAATTGACTTCCCAATTGGAAGTGCTAATTTGCATTCCGAATGCATAATATGCATATGTATATTATACATTTGTGGCACATATTTTACTACTTATCTGCAATACAATTACCAGTATCAGTTCCATGTCCTTACATCCATAAGAATTAATATCTCGATATATCATTAGGATAAGTCTTTGAAAACATATGTTTCAATTGTAATACCTTTTTTCTTTTTATTTCATTTTACAGAGATTATTATCAGTCTGCAAACGCCCGCAATCTGACATATCGGTGAGTTTTTTTTTTTTTTTTTTGTACTAAAGTAAACAAATTATTATTAACTATTAATCAAACTATATTTTTTTTCACACAGAAATTCATCAGTGATCTACTGGATCGGGCTAAAACGCTGTAAACATTTTTCTTCATCACACTTACACCCCCACACTCAAGCATATTTCAACAAATACAACCGAAAAAATTTACATTTTAATTTTAAAAATAAATATAAAAATTTGTTTAGTTTCTTTTTTTTGTTAAATTATTTATATAAACTATTTTTAAAGCAACAGCAACAGCAACAACAACAAAATAATAATTTATGAAATTAAGTTTAGTTTTTTAAGTAAAAAATTATTGAACAAAATAATATGAATTAAAGTCTAACAGTCATATTGATAATAAAAATGTTTTAAAAAACTTTATGTAAAATTTTTATTATAAATATGAGTGTAAAATAATAGCAAAAGAAATTAATTCTTTTTTAAGTTTTAGCTACAAAAAAAAATATTTTTTATATATTTTAAAAGTTTCAAGAAAATAATAAATTTTTTAGTTTAATAAATAATTATTTGAAAGAAAAAATTGTTGAAGTTGAAAAATTTGTAATTGATTTACAAAAGAAAAAAAATGAAATTGTAGATGATATGAAAGATCAAATATGTTTTAAAAATAATAATAATAATAATTAAAATAAAACAAATTTAAAATAATAAATAAATAATGAAATAACTAAAACAAACCACAAATTATTGTATAAATTGAGAAAACCGATCAAATAATAAGAGAACAAATAACAAACTTTTAACCTAATAGGGTTAATAGTTGTATTTGGAAAGTAATAAACTTTTAATGAATTAAATTTATTTTGATTTTCATTAATTTCCTTTAATTAAGTCTAAATATATTAATCCAAAATTTTTTACTTAAAACATTATTTATAAAAAAAATTAAAAAAATGTTTTTAAGCAAGCTCAGGTTCACTGCCAAAATGTGTTGAGAAAAGTGTTTTTTACTGAATAGTCAATGTATTTCAATATTTAATATATTTGAAATACAAAAAACATTCTTTGCCAGAAAAGTGCATGGTGAAATAATTTTTGAAAATAATTTACAATTTATACTTGAGTTTTAAAAAGAAACAATAAAACTGGTCTAAAGTTCTTTAATAAATGTTTTATTTTTAAACAATATTTTTTGTAATTTTTTGTTTAAAATAAAGAAAAATAAAATTTTAAAACAAAATAAAGCCGCATGTTGCAATAAAAGTAATTATTAAAATAAATTGAAAACAAATTAAAAGAAATCACTTAAGTCATCCTCATTTATGTTCGTTCTTCATCCCCCCCCCCCAAACCAAAAACAAAATAGAAAAAAATATTTTTAAAAATAAAAATTAAATTGAAAAGTTTTGATGAACAAAATAAAAACGCTGTATAATTGTCAAAGTTATTTGATTTAGTAGAGAACTTTTAAAAAAGCTTTAGTAGGGAGCTTAGAAAAGAAAAGTTTTGTAATTTAGTGTAGTCAAAGCTTTAAAAGCTCGTGAAACTTTGTGAAATAAGTTAAAAGCTTACAAAAGCTCGTAAATTAACAAAGTTTTAAAAGCTTTCTACTTTTAACGTTATTAAGTAGAAACAACATTTCTTTAGAAGATTTTAAAATTCAATAATTCGTTTTCTTCAAAACTTTTCAATTTAAATTAAATATTTCCTAATTGGTGTGTTTTATGTATATAACTAAATGTGGGTTCTTTATAGACCTTAGTAATTACTTTATAATAAATATATAATTTATATTTAAATTTAACTCATATAAAACGTAATATGTTGTGTAAATATATACGTAAATTGCAGAGAATTTACTTTAATTAAAACAAAACAAATTTTACAAAATAAGTTTAAAACAAGCACTTAATTCTTAGAACAAAAATATTTAGCAAAACCAAAAAAAAAGACTTATTTCAAACCACCACTCTACACCCTGCACTCAAAACTAAACTCTAGAACCTCCTGCTGTAAGGCAAAGTTTCACTTAATCTAGTTAAAATAAGTTTAAAAATCTTAACTAAATATTTCAATATATTCTTAAAACTGAGCTCAATGATTTTACTTACTAAAAAAAAAAAACAAAAGCAACAGAAAGAAAAAAATTACATTTAAACTCTAAAATCTTAAATTAATAGCAATTTTAAACGACAACAACAACTAAACTAATTAATAGTGTCTAAAATAGGAAAAAATGCCAGTTTGAATTGAGTTTCTCAATCTATTTATTATACTCCCCACTTTCCAAGAGCCAAAGTTATTAACCAACTGTTCTTCTTTAAATATGAGACACTACACAGAGGGAAAAAGAAATATACACGCTTGGTACCAAATTGGCACCAAAGAGTTTGTAATTTTTCAATAACAACCGTTGTCAAAGTATATACATACGTACGACAACACTATGTCGCAACGTTGTCAACATTGCAACAATTCGTTGTCAAAATCTAAATTTTATACACATCCGTTGTCTAAATGTTAACAAACGTGGTAAGCTCACTATTGGCAACGGATTGTTTGCAATAGTGAACTTACCACGTTTGTTAACATTTAGACAACGTATGTGTAAAAAATTTAGATTTCGACAACGAATTGTTGCAATGTTGACAACGTTGCGACATAGTGTTGTCGTACGTATGTATATACTTTGACAACGGTTGTTATTGAAAAATTACAAACTCTTTGGTGCCAATTTGGTACCAAGCGTGTATATTTCTTTTTCCCTCTGTGTATAAATTATCTTCTTTTTAGATTATAATTTTTAATTTGTTTAAGTAATTAATATTTAAATCATATATTTACGAAAAATATTTATATTTTAGGTGCTCATTAATACACATACATATATAACATTTATTACGCATACATACTCATATATATATTTTAAATATTTATGATGATTTCGAAAAACAAAACATGGCTTTTAAATTTAAAAGAAAAATAAAACATTTTTTTTTATATAGAAATTACAGTTGAAACCAACATTTATACATTCATAGATTATTTATGTAAGTCCCCCTCTCAAAAAAAAAATATATATATTTAATAATATTCATATTTGTAATACTTATTAAATACCTAACAACATAAATATTTGCATAAATAACGTATGTATGTTTTGTAAAAGTGAAAAATTGATTTGAATTTTATTACAAAAACAAAATATTTGAAAATAAAGAAAAACAAATAAAACAAGATGAAGCTTTGCAGAAAAATAGTAAGAAAAATGTGTTTAATTTAACGGTATCTGAGATCTCCGGTTTAAACAAAAAGTAAGTTTTAATCCATTACTATCATTATAGAAATAAGATTGTTGTGTTAAAACTATTGAACCGATTTTGTACTATCTATAAGAATTTTATAGAAAATTCACTGTTTTCTTAAATAAAATCTGAAAAGATCTTAACTAGATGATATGCCTAGATTTTTTGGGAAATCCTGAACCTATGCAGTTACATAGTTGCACAAAAAGAAAATCTGTCATCGATTTTATCTAATATTTTTTTTATTTTCTAAAAAATTTCGATATATTTTTTGACAAATATTTTTTTAGTTAATCATTTCCGTTATTTTAATTCATTATCAATATTAATAGCAAAGACAGCAACCATTTAGCCACTATATATTTCTTCAGCACCCAGAACACCTAATAACTCTCGCTAAAATAATCCCCTTTCAACTTCTATAACCAAAAAAAAACAAAATCCGGCAACACTATATACAAGTATGCACAACACTTCCAAATTTTTTTCAATAAAATCTTAATATAAACATTTAAATAGTATGTTCAACATTTATACCCTTGTTATTAACAAATTCACCCCATATTATTGTTAAACTTATGTTAACATAATTTTTTAAAATTAAAATTGTCAATTATTACTTACCCTGTTTGAATTCAAATTCAAAATTAACAGAATGTAAAACTATTTGGCCATACTTTTTCCCATAAACATACCATAGCCAATCACAAAAATACCCACTTTTCAATAAATCCCACAACTAGCGACAAATTTAAATTTCCGGCAACACTATTTTTTTTCTTTTTTGCACACATACTGTTGTCTGTTTAATTGTGTCCAACTTCTAACACTTTCCTCAATATTATCAATAAAACCCTCATATATCCCGGATAAAACAACAATCGAACTTTATTTTAAAACACTTTTTAGTTTAATATTTTGATTAAAAACCCGTAATTTGCGTAACAAACTTAGTGAGAAAATATTTGCAACCGATATCAAGAAAAACCGCGAACTAAATGAAGTCTAATTAGAATGCAGAGTTGTAATTTTAGGTACTATTGGTACATAAAGGAGGGTAATAAAGGTAAATGTATAATATGATAAAACTGTTAGAAAATTAAGTTAATTAAATTAAATACTTAAATTATTAAGTTATTTAATATTAAATAAAGGGAATTAGTAATTAAATAAAAATATTATAAATTAAACAGTTTCTATTAAATATCGTAGACTTCAAAATAGTCTATAGTCTAGTCTATAGTCTAGTCTATAGTCTAGTCTATAGTCTAGTCTATAGTCTGGTCTATAGTCTATTCTATAGTCTAGTCTATAGTCTAGTCTATAGTCTAGTCTATAGTCTAGTCTATAGTCTAGTCTATAGTCTAGTCTATAGTCTAGTCTATAGTCTAGTCTAGTCTAGTCTATAGTCTAGTCTATAGTCTAGTCTATAGTCTAGTCTATAGTCTAGTCTATAGTCTAGTCTATAGTCTAGTCTATAGTCTAGTCTATAGTCTAGTCTATAGTCTAGTCTATAGTCTAGTCTATAGTCTAGTCTATAGTCTAGTCTATAGTCTAGTCTATAGTCTAGTCTATAGTCTAGTCTATAGTCTAGTCTATAGTCTAGTCTATAGTCTAGTCTATAGTCTAGTCTATAGTCTAGTCTATAGTCTAGTCTATAGTCTAGTCTATAGTCTAGTCTATAGTCTAGTCTATAGTCTAGTCTATAGTCTAGTCTATAGTCTAGTCTATAGTCTAGTCTATAGTCTAGTCTATAGTCTAGTCTATAGTCTAGTCTATAGTCTAGTCTATAGTCTAGTCTATAGTCTAGTCTATAGTCTAGTCTATAGTCTAGTCTATAGTCTAGTCTATAGTCTAGTCTATAGTCTAGTCTATAGTCTAGTCTATAGTCTAGTCTATAGTCTAGTCTATAGTCTAGTCTATAGTCTAGTCTATAGTCTAGTCTATAGTCTAGTCTATAGTAGTCTAGTCTATAGTCTAGTCTATAGTCTAGTCTATAGTCTAGCCTATAGTCTAGTCTATAGTCTAGTCTATAGTCTAGTCTATGTCTAGTCTATAGTCTAGTCTATAGTCTAGCATATAGTCTAGTCTATAGTCTCGTCTAAAATATATTCTAGACATAGCCTAGTCTATAGTCTAGTCTAATGACTAATTTATAGTGGTATGAGTCCACTGGCAAAAAAACTACGTAATGGAAGGAGTTAGGTACTAAAATAATATATTTATACATCTGAACTAACCGACCGTTTATGAACTGATGAAGCTCGTTTGTGATAGCTTTGCTTTATGTTGATATACATAAATATGCAAAACAAAAATAAATAATTTGGTACAGTCGGTAACAAAAAATTGCAGTAATTAATTCTATTTTGTATAATTTTAAAATTCTATTTGCCGTTCCTGCTTGATACTATTTGTATTTAGTACTACTTTTATCTTCTCACCTTTTAAGCAACAAAAAATACAACTGTGTGTATGTGTTTTGCTGCCGGTAAATATTTGCGCGTTTCTCCGAGAAAAACAAGTAATTTTAACAAAAATTAACGAAATCTTTATTAAAAGCAATATAAACCAATTAAAAATATATTAAATTCTCAACAAGTGTTAATATTGTGCCAATTACAATTATGTCGGGCAGTCCGTTTGTCAACAAACGCGGTTTGATTAAGCCACAGACACCACAACGTGTTGCTGCTCTGTCTGGCGCAGGAGGAGCAGCCAATGATTCGCTTAATTATTCCATTACCTTAATGCCCACCGAATTACAAAGAATGCTAGATCAATCTAATTTAAATTCAAGCGCTATGGTCTCTTCCTTTCATGCTGGAGCCGGGGCAGACAATCAAAGTTTGTGTGACCGTTCGGTAATGGAGCAGACAAATATGGATATGTTTAAAGAAAAGGCTGATATGTTATTTCCACAATTTTTAGAGGTTTTACAAGCACGCACCAATGATTCGGAAGTATTTGATACCATACAGGATATAATACACACCTGTTCGGGTGTAATGGAAGAGTGTCAAAAGGACAGCCTAAGACCGGGAGAAAAAAAGGCGAGTAGAAAAACTGAATGGCTCGAAAGAGAGTGCAAGACTTGGAAGTTATTGTATGCGTTGTATAAGGATCGAATTTTAATACAAAATGGAGAGCAGGGTATGGATTATGATGGTCCCACTTTAGGTGGCTCCGAAAAGGAGGTTATAGCTCAACTTTATAATTGTAACTCTACGTTAAGAGAGTATCAATTGATCATAGATTGGCTAGAGGCCTGTTATGATGGTAAGCTATTGGGGCCCCAGGTGGGCCATACCACCGATCGTACTGTGGGCTGGGAAAATACTCTGTTTCAGTTGAAGAAGCAGCAGCATGTAGCCTTTGGCTCAGGAGCGGAAATAGTTAAATCTCTAGATCCTGATGCGCCTATTAGAGAAAAGAAACCTTTGCATGCTTTAGATGAGGAAGACAATATGCGTTTATCACGTTGCATATTCCAGGAAATACGTCAAGGACGCATAGATGAGGCCATGGCTTTGTGCAAGTATTGTGGCCAAACATGGAGAGCCGCCATATTAGAGGGTTGGCGTCTTCATGAAGATCCCAATTACGAGGCCATACAAACTAATAATCGAGAAAAATTACCCATTGAAGGAAATCCCCGCAGAGATATATGGAAAAAGTGTGCGTGGATGATGGCTGACTCGAAGAAATTTGATGAATACACTAGAGCCATAGCCGGAACGTTCTGTGGCCATTTAGAGTCCCTAAAAACATTACTTAATAACTCTTGGGAGGATTTATTGTGGGCCTACTTAAAAGTTCAGGTGGACATACGGGTGGAGAGTGAAATAAGAGC